ATAAAGCCTCATTGATGTAGCCTAATATGTTTCTACTGCAATGTTTTACGTTTTCATTGTTTATTCAATTTAATTTCAGTATTGTGATTAATTAATTCATTAATTAATTTAACTACGTTTCACTTGAATTAATCTGACACCAACTTTCAATCGCTCTGAATGAGCCGTGGCATGGCTGCAGGAGATTACACAAAAAACTGACACTTTTCAAAGTCTGTGATTGTAGCGCCTCTTAGCGGAAAAAGGCAGTAAATACTCCCCAAGTTTTACCGCCGCGGCAGACACATACATATCGATATACCACTGCGGTGGTAAAAAACACATTCTGGTTGATTACCTACTGTACATGCATTAAGCCACGTAAAAGTGCCTTTTAAGTATTTTTAACATTGTATGGCATATGTTATGGACCCCTGGTCCAGTAGGCCGGGGTCTCAGATTTCACAAGAGTTAGCCGGCCCAAATTCCAGGCACAATTCGTTGACTGAAAATGCCAAGAGGTCCTCGCTGCAGTCTGTAGCACGATGACGTAGCTGGATGGTCCAATACGTAGTGGATGGAGGTGTGTTTTGGTGACGTCATATACGCATACGCAGTGCCGATCTCAGGATTATAATTCGCATGCATTGATCTTAAGTGATATGTAAGCTCAATATTGTACTGACATGATGTTCAAACCTGTGTAGTATAGTACTGTTAAATAATTATAAGTAATTATTGATGAATAAGTAATTATTTACAACTGGGATGCTTATCCGAGATTCACTCTACATAAGCTAAATGCAAAGTTATTTTACATTTTAAATCACATGATTTTAAACCTACATTTGATAGATTAATAGCATGTGCACCACAAGTATTTTTTTTAATGCGTGTATATAGAACATATTAAAAAGCAATTTTATTTTATTCATATTTGCTGTTGATTGGAAGCAAAAAATGTAAAAGTAGTAATTTTAAAGGTACAACTCTAAACATCTTAAAATACCAGTAAACATTTCAAAGGAAAATGCTAAAATAATAACAGCATCAGGAAAATAAATATTGTCAGATGTAGGAAAAAAAAACTAAATAAAAGCCTACATGTTCTTCTTAATTTGCTGTTCAGTGAGACATGTCTGGAAGTTTGTTTTCGCCACAGAGTGAGAAATAAAAAAGGTAATTGCGACTTTATCTCACTACTAGTCAGACTTTTTATCTCAGAATTTATATAAAGTCGCAATTGCAGGTTATTAAGTCAGAATTATGAGATATAAACTAGCAATTGCGAGGCTACTTGAAATTCTGACTTTATAATACGCATATTGGGAGAATATAAAGTCGCAATTGCGTGTTATAAAGTTAGAATTGTGAGATATTGAACTATTCTGAGGTTAAAAAATAAGTAGCCAGATTTTTTTCCCCTTAGAATTTGACTATATAACTAGCAATGGGAGATATAAACTTACAATTATGTTATACATTCAGAATTGCAAGAAAAAAGTCAGAATTCTCATTTTATAGCACACAATTGCGACTTTATTTCACGCAATTCTGTCTTTAGAACATGCGACAGGCTTTATTTCAGGCAATTCTGACTTTATATCTCACAATTCTGAGAAATAAAGTCAGTAGGCTATGCGAAATGTATACTCGCAATTGTAATGAAAAAGTTGCAATTATTTTTTTAAAATATTTTACTCTGAAAGCTCTGAAAATAGCTTCCATACTCGTGACCATTTAAATGTAGCTATTCTTGGAAGATCAATGTGCGATTGTTCACCAACTCTCTACTCTCTACAATAACTATCAATTGTTAATGTGCATGTGCCATCAGCGTTTATCACAGGATCGCGTTTAAAGTCTGTTTAGAGAGAACGGTGTCGTCCCCTAATTTAATAACAAATTATCATTTCGACAGAGGTGAATCAATCAAAACTAACTTTAGCTGGAAATAGCCTAACATTATTCACGAACCGCTATAAAGCCAAAACAATCTTTGTTACATTAAATTATATGCGATTATGCGTATCTATGTAAAGCTGCTTTGAAACAATCTAAATTGTTAAAAGCGATTATATTACGTTACAGTGTCCACTACGTATTGGACCATCCAGCTACGTCATCGTGCTACAGGCTGCAGCGAGTCCTACCCTCTAGATAGAGACCAAGCAAGTAGGAGAACTGTTTCTCTAAAAACAGGAATTTTAACTTACTGCCTGCAGGGCTCAAGGGTGGTCTCTGCAGTGCAGTCGCATTGCATCAGAGATAAGAGGGTAAAGATCAAGGCGAATTCAGTCTTCTTGCTCCCCTCAGGAATCTGACGATCAAGTTGTGCTTCCCACGGATTTGTAGCCACTGCATCATGATGTGCAGTCAGAGTTAACACAGAGGCAACACCATTTTGAGGTGGAGGAGACCACCCTCACTCCAAACTGTCAAGTCAAGTCACCTTTATATAGTACTTTTTACAATACAGATTGTATCAAAGCAGTGATAACAGGAAAATAATACAACACGGAACTTTATACACGTTTGTACACAAAATAGCATCGAACTGACTGGCATTGGTTTACGTTCTTGATCAAATCGAACAATAACACCATAAAGTATATATACATGAAAAATACATTTACAACATTAGTACATATACAAAAAAATGTGATAAAACTAAAACATTGCGTCTGAAATTATACATGCAAATACATTTAAAATAATTAAGTCTTAGCCTACTTACAGGTTGTGGCCCAACACCTGCTGCATCTGGTTTTAAAGTTGGAACTGCTTCATGTTTTAGTAACAGTTTCTTGTTGAATCCGGCATTGAATTTGTGGAGATTCTGGAAGCTGTTTTTTCTTAAAATGCGCAGCACAAAGAGCTACAGTATGTCATTTTCAGGAACATAATCAAACATAAATGACGAACTACAACGTCCGTGGGAAGCCCGAACACAGAAGACCTGACAGCTGGATGAACATAACACACTTTCAACGAGCCTCAGAAATATTACACACTATTTATTTAGGGTTGATTGCAATTTCACTTTTTTGATTTTAAATAGTGTGTAATGTTGCTGTTGGTGCATGAACAGTATCTGCAAAGTTGCAGCGCTGAAAGTTCAGTGTAAGCAGAGATATCGTCTTTTAAAAATCAGAAAGTTCAATGCCTACAAAAACGACTCGATTGGGACTACAACAGGTTTTAGACGTCACTAACCCATACATTTACATCAACCCTCCCTCCGGAAAATGCAAAAAAGGGTATGGCCGGCTCGTCGAGTGTGTTGTGTTCAACCAGCTGTCAGGTCTTCTGTGTTCGAGCTTCCCACGGACGCTGTACTTCGTCAACAAAGGATACAATTTATGTTTGATTATGTTCCTGAAAATGACGATCGTAATTTAGCTCTCTGTGCTGTGCATTTTACGGAAGACAGCTTCCAGAATCTCCACGAATTCAACACCGGATTCAACAAGAAACTGTTACTAAAACATGAAGCAGTTCCAACTTTAAAACCAGAGGCAGCCGTTGTTGGGCCACAACCTGTAAGTAGGCTAAGACTTAATCATTTTAAATGTATTTGCATCTATAATTCCAGACGTAGTTAAAGTGTTACCAAACAATAAAGACTCGTAACATTTTTAATCAAAGATTTGAATCAATCTATGGCATGTTGTAGTCCAAATTAAAATTATGAAAATGTTTAAGTTTGAAAATGAATTGCCTATAAAGTGTTTACTTATTAAGTGCTGTGATGAACACCGTTGTGAATACAAAAATCTGAATGGATGTTTGAAACATTTAAATACTTTTCAGAAAACGAAAGTAGTGCAGCAGCTTGGTTTATGGGCTTGTTAGTGTAACGGTTGCATTGCTGTTCAACAAGCACCATCTGCTGTCAGAGAGCGAATGTGCATTTTCATTCAGCACATCTCCTTCACTCATTCTGCCACGCGCTGCTCGTGACTGTTGGGCTTGTTTATGTCAGATTGAGAGCATGCCTCTTTGACTCAGCATACACTAGTGATGTGCATTTCAAACGGTTGATAGGAAAAGTATTCTTAAAAAAAATCGGAATAATACGTGATAACTGATTATTCATAATATTTTGAACTGGCCACGATAACAATATCATGCATGTTCATTATCATGTGATGCATATATTACCGTATAAAGGCACATGTCTATTATCAAAAAGAGTCCATATAATTTATACATTTATGCACACCAAAGTACACACAAGAAAAACACTAACATTACTGAACAAAACTTTTCAGTAATTCAGTGTAGCCTATGGTATGTATACAGTGCAGCAGCAAAGAGCTTGTTTAGTGCTTATTAGGTGCTTGCGTTTTATACACGTCAAGTTGCCATACGGAACAGTATCACATGAGCCGCTTTCCTACCAAGTAGTTACAGGAACTTTGTTATAGGAACTGTCCACTTCTAAACAGTTCTAAGAACTACTCTCCCCCAAACTCGGTTTTGCTGCTTGCGTTCGCACTGGCCAAGTGGCCATAGGAACTGGTAGGAGGGGTAACGCAAGCACGGCGACGGTCTTTATTACTAGACGTAGCGCGGCCACAAACAACAACAACAAATCAGCGTGGAGGAGGCTATTATTGCAATTTTCCTGTTCTGCCTTGCCGGGACCTTAAAGGGCACCTATTATGGAAAATTCATTTTTACATAGTGTTTTAACATAAATGTGTGTTGGCAGTGAGTGAGCAAAACCACCCTAGAATGAAAAAAATCCACCCAGTGTTTTTTTTTTATAATCTCAATAAATCATATGCACTGTCTCAGAACGAGCTGTTATAATATTCAGCTCTTTGTGACGTAGAATTGAGCAAGGGGTTTGATTGACAGTGTGGTTGTGGCCTAGACCCCGCCCTCGGTGATCTGTACACACCATCCTCCATTGTTTCAACGACAGCCGGTAATGTCTCTTGGAAACATAAGTGTTCTGTTGTGGAATCGTGGGTTAATCCTGTTGTTGTAGCTTAAAAGTTAATCCTCAAGTGTGGATCGTCGTCTACTGTTTGCAATCCAACTTCACCTCCAGTAACAGTAAGTGTATTTTATGATTTTTGAGCAAATAGTTATTTCAGTCTGTCAGCCAATTTATCAACAAATGCGTCTAAAGTTGTCGACGTAGGATGTCTGTTTATATAATTTAAACATTGTTTGTATAGTGTATAACCACACGTTTATAAATATATTTTTAAAGATATTGCATTAAAAACTGCATATATGTTGTTGTTCTGTAAATTAGCCATCTTCTCACATTTGCCACAGAAGCACCTGTATGACAAGTAAACATGACGCCACAGGTCCCTCGCATTAATGTAATTTCGCTTACATAGCAAACTTTATCACAGAATGTGTATGTAGTTTCAAAAAATTGCTTTAGTGTTTGTGTGCATCTGTGTGTGTGTGTTGCACACCCATACTTGCAAAAAGACGTGATTACAACTCTATAAGTACATAAATGTATCAAATAACCATACCGAGACGTACTGGTCCATTCTCATTTGTGTTTATTCTGCCGGAGTCTCATCGTACTATTTATATATTCCGATTCAAATGTACGCTGAATGACAGACAAAACAGCGCGTCTCTCACTCTCTCAGTACCGACTGCCATTGGTATCAAGTTACGCCCTCATCCAAAGGCAGGGCGGGGATATCCAGCTCATTTGCATTAAGGTGGCATACACCCAAAACAGCTCATTTTTAATCAGGCCCCAAAATGACATTTTCAAATGGTTATAATAAATTAACTATGGGGTATTTTGAGCTGAAACTTAACAAATACATTCTGGGGACACCCGAGACCAATATTACATCTTGTAAAAAGGGGCATAATAGGTGCCTTTTAATAACGGAGAACGAACAGCGGCGTTTAAAGATTATGCTTGAGTTCTGTACAGAGAAACACAGAAGACGAAGGCTCCAGCATAATATGATATTAAGTAATATGATGGAAGAAGATAAAAGAGCAGAGCGCAGGAGGCAAACAAAACGACGGGTAAGTTTAGCTATTATTAGCAATCAGCTGGTTGAATGCGTTATGTTTGTCTTAATCCTCGTTGTAATGTTTTGCACGGTACAAGTTCCGTGTTGACAGTGGGCATGACTTTTAACCAATCAACGTAGACCTAGGGAAAGGGAACTAAAAAAGTCCTCGCTCTAGACTAGCTACTGAAAGAGTTATAGGAACTACGGTCTGTGGAACTAAAAAATCCCCAAATTAGTCCGGTCGGAACACGAGAAAAAAAGGGTTATAGGAACGTTAGGTTCTAGGAACTGCAAAAGTCCCTCCGGTCGGAAAGCGGCTATGGAGCCACCCCAAAAAAAAGCCTGAACCAACCACCTTGACCTGACTGCATTATATGCCTTCTACAGTACATGGATTCATTCAGAATTACTAAACACAGCAACATACACCTTAAATCATTATCCTGAATGTGTGACTGTGGAAACAACGTGAATGTACTGAAATGTGTCATAAATTCAATGTGTGATAAGGTTGTTTGAATGAATTTTGAAAACCTTCCCAGAGTTTAGCAGCGTAAAATGATCTGATCTCAAACAGAGAAGCAATTTCGGGTTATGGGATTAGACTATAGAATAGAATATATAGAATAGAAAATAGAATACTATGTAATCTTGATGAGCCTGCTACTAAAAAGTAATCATACTAATAATATATGGCCTGCTGCTGAGTTTGGAGGAGGAGGATGATGATGATGAGTATACATACACAGAACACTGAGAAATATGTAGTATATGTCTTTAAAAAAAGAGCAAAAATGTTAAAAGCTATAGTAAAATATTTCTTTAGTTATAACATCATATAATAGATTTTGACTTTATTCTGTATGTTAGTTGTAACAATCAACCTATGGGACATAAAAGTGATCATAGTTGAAGAAAGAGAGATAGCCATAGTGAGATGTCTTTCTTATGTGTGTGTGTTCTGCAGATAAAGGCAGCACTGGTGACGTTGAGTGTGTGTGCGAGGGATTTTCATGCAGTGATGTCCAGCGCTGTTTTGGGCTGCAGTGTTTCTCCTCACTGTCGTTCAAGAATGGAACAGCCTTACAGCAGAAAGGGTGCATTGTGGGTAGTGAAGAAAGGGCAGTACCCTGCAAACACTCCCAGTCAGTGGACACGCTGGTGTATTGTTGCCAGGAAACATTGTGTAATGCGAATGTTACCGTGGAGATGCCAAATACAGGTGAATCATTAATTGAAGCATGAGAAAATGTATCCTAACACCTTTAATGTACCACAGTGTAATGATGAAAGTGTTAGTAGACTACTCATGCTGGGTGAAAAATGGTCAAAAGAAAAAGTATTTTTATACTGATACAATGAAACCAATTTCATTTGCGCCTATTTCATGATCTTTAAAAAAAAATATTGATATGACTCTGACCATGTAATATTTGTTTATATATTTAAAATATTGCAGCTTGTTAACAAAGTAACTATATATTGCATTTCTGAACGACATCCTTTGGGAACGATTGTAATAATTCTCATTTAAAAGCAAATGTCTTTAAAACATTGCATAATCCAAATTAGTTTCTGTAATATCTAACAATTCATTAATTTTATTTTTGTAAAATAACTACTCATTTAACTTATGGGAAGAGACATCGGGACACCCCATCATTCCCACAACCCAACAAGCGGTTTGGAGAATGGATGGATAAAATTAATCACTAGCTGCTTTTCTGTCGGGCCAGTGTGAGCCAGTGCTAACAATGTGCTGAGCGAGGCCAATTGCATCGGACATCAAGCACTGAAGCCAAAAATCAATAAGGCCAGTAGCCCTGCAGTGCTACCCTAAAACACGCACTTAACACTCCTCCATAGAACGACTTCACGCAGCATCACCAATTCACCAGCATGGCGGAGCTTTACCTGACTGAAAACTAGCTAAATTGCAATATGAGCATGATTTTTTTTAACTTTACTTAAAGACTTAAGACTCAAAATAAAAAGACCAATTAATTATTTCATTGGATATTTTTTTAACGACAGTAATATATTTATATTTAATATATATATATATATTTATATTAAAGGGCACCTATTATGGAAAATTCACTTTTACATGGTGTTTGAACATAAATGTGTGTTGGCAGTGTGTAAGCAAAACCACCCTAGAATGATAAAAATCCACCCAGTTTTTTTTTAAATCTCAATAAATCATGTGCACTGCCTCAGAACGAGCTGTTCTGAGATTCAGCTCTTTGTGACGTAGAAAGGGAGAAAGGGGTTTGATTGACAGTGTGGCTGTGGCCTAGACCCCGCCCTCGGTGATCTGTACACATCATCCTCCATTGTTTCAACGACGACAGCCGGTAATGTCTCTTGGAAACTTAAGTGTTCTGTCGTGGACTCGTGGGTTAATCCTGTTGTTGTAGCTTAAAAGTTAATCCTCAACTGTGGATCGTCATCTACTGTTTGCGATCCACCGTCACATCCAGTAACAGTAAGTGTGTTTTATGATTTTTGAGCAAATAGTCTTTTCAGTCAATGTCAGCCAATTCAACAACAAATGCGTCTAAAGTTGTTGTCGTCGTAGGATGTCTGTGTAAGCTATATAATTTAAACCTTGTTTGTATAGTGTGTAACCACACATTTATATATATTTAAAGATATTGTATTAAAAACTGCATATATGTTGTTCTGTATGTTAGCCATCTCCTCACATTTGCCACAGAAGCACCCGTATGACAAGTAAACATGACGCCACAGGTCCCCGTCCCTCGCATAAATGTAATTTCGCTTGTACGTAGCAAACTTTATCACACTATGTGTATGTAATTTCAGAAAAATTGTGCCAGCATTAGTGTTTATGTGTGTCTGTGTGTGTGTGTGTTGCACATGCCCATCATTTCAAAGGGAACGCGTTTACAACGCTAAAGTACATAAATGTATCAAATAACCATAACGAGACGTACTGGTCCATTCTCATTTATGTTTACTCTGCCGGAGTCTCTTCGTACTATTTATATATTCCGATTCAAACGTACGCTGAATGACATTCAAAACAGCGCGTCTCTCACTCTCTTAGCCTTCTGCTTACCGACTGCCATAGGTATCAAGTTACGCCCTCATCCAAAGGCAGGGCGGGGATATGCAGCTCATTTGCATTTAAAGCCGTATACCTCCGAAACAGGTCATTTTTAAGCAGGCCCCAAAATGACATTTTCAAATGGTTATAATAAATTAACTGTGGGGTATTTTGAGCTGAAACTTCACAAATACATTCTAGGGACACCAGAGACCAATATTACATCTTGTAAAAAGGGGCATAATAGGTGCCCTTTAATATTAATCTTCTTCTTTCCAGATGTGGAGTTAATGGCAGCCCCTACAGAGCACGAGTGTGTGTGTGAGGGCCGGTCGTGTGTAACGGGCGACCGCTGTATGGGTCAGCAGTGTTTCTCCTCTTTGACTCTGAGTGATGGAACGCCAGTGTCTCAAAAGGGCTGTTTTAAGGTGTATGAGCAGGGCAGGATGACCTGCAAAACTCCTCCATCACCTGACCAGATTGTAGAGTGCTGTCAGGCTCATCTGTGCAACATGAACCTCACTGTGAGACTTCCTGTACGAGGTAATGCTTACACATACACAAACTAATAAACTGATCCTTCTCAGGTTTAAATGGACATAGTTTTATATTGATTGGTTGCCATGCAATTGTCTTTATTGCTTGGCTTATTTACATATTTTCAGCCATTTGTTTGTACGCTTTAACCCTAAAGACACACAAATAATTCTAAAAGTTTCAGTGACCTCCAGTGTGACATGCATTTTTATCAAATAATAATTATTAAGCCACCAGCTTTTATGACCTCATTAATAATTTAGGCAGGTAATAATTTTGATTAGAGTTGGAGTTACTTAAAAAAAGAAAAAGAAAAAAACAACAACAACAAAAAACTACAGAAGAGTGGATATTAGACCAAAGTAAATTGGCTATACACAATGACTTTGTGGACATTATGATGGTTTTTGAGGGGTTTTTTTTCACAATACAATGACAGGGTTAAAATTAGCTTAATATCATAAAACTAATGAACTTTTGTTAAATTTACTACTTAGCAGTTCAAAATAGTTTATTTGTACACTAAGTTTCTCTGTCTCTCTCAGGGGTGGAGGGACCCAACTATAGCTTGACAATGCTGACCATTGTGATTGTGGCTCCAGTCATCGTTCTGATATTCCTATCTGCTGTGGCGATCCTGATCTTCCATTGTATCCACCTTCACCAGATAGAGCATCTGACTACTCATGATGCCGAGTATGGCACCATTGATGGTCTGATTGCGTCTAATGTGGGAGAAAGCACCCTCGCGGTGAGGCAAACATACACATCACAAAGCACATTGAACTCTTACTGAGAAATCTGGTTCCATTATTTGAAACAGCACAACCAACAGAGAAAATAAAGTTAAAAAAATAAGTAAAAAAATGAATACATTACTTTTAAAGTTATTTATTCGGCCATTAAACAACTACAGTAAATAGCTCATATTTACCATGCTAAATTTACCATGGTAATTGCCCATTCACACCAAGAATGATATTTGTAAAGATGATGATAACTATGTTCGTGTCCACATCAGCAGACAATATCGTTCTGTTTATTCTAAGTGTACACTGCCGTTTATGTTGTCTGTCGCTTTAAATGCTTAAGCTCTATAATGTAGGATTGATTCTGTTTGGGTGTCAATGTTTTTATTGTTCATCAGCTAGGAAAATGGAACTTTATTGTGAATAGCATGTTTTGATCGCATGAAGGCCTTGATTGCATGTTTTTTAGACATGTTGTGGATGCCTATACTATAGGACACACTGCTACAGTAACAATACAATTTTTTTATCTGTATTTTCTTCTAAGCTTATTAATTAATAGCATAACACATAAATCCATGCACAAATTACTTTTCAGAATAGTTTATAATACCAACAAGATTTCGTCCTACTTTATACTAATTGTCTTTAAGTACTATGTACTATGTCAACATTAAAATGAATGATTCGATGCAATGCACTTATTCTGTACATACATGTTTTTTCATATTACCAATATTTAACAAAAATACCTGCATGTAATTACAGCTTGAATTTCTGTTGTTTTAGTGCCTTGCGAAAGTATTCGTATCCCTTCATTTTTTTTTTTACATTTTATTATGTTGCTGCCTTATGTTAAACTACTTTAAATGGCTATTTTTTCCACATCTATCTGCACTCCATAAACGATAATGACAAAGCAAAAAACAGAGTTGTGATAACTTTGCAAATTTATTACAAATAAAATACTGAAATAATTACATTGCGTAAGTATTAGTACCCTTTTCTGGGACACTATAAACTTAGCGCAGGAACATTTCCATTTTGCTTGTAGATGATACTTTACTTTGAGTGGTGGTAGCCTGTGGAAATGCAATTTAATGGATATGGCTCGAAAAGCCACACACCTCTTAATAAAAGGTCCAAGAGCCGAAAATGCTTATCAGAGTAAAAACCAAGCCATGAGGTTAAACCAACTGCCTGCAGTGAAGGTTCACAGAAGCATGTAGCCTTCATAATCCTTAATGGAAGAAGATTGGAACAACCAGGACACTTCCTATAGCTGGCCTCCTTGCCAAACTGAACAATCAGTGGAGAAGGGCCTTGGTTAGAAGGTTCCATGATCATATATGGAGATGGGAGAAACTTACAGAAGGACAAACATCACAGCAACACACCACCGATCAGGGATGTGTTTCCCGAAAGCATCTTTAGCCAACTATGGTCGCAAGTTCTGTCATTATCAGCATAGTTCAACGAGTCAGGGTTTCCCAAAACCATCATTCCAGTGAACATTCGCAAACAGCATCGCAAAGTTGTGTGGTTTGAACGACAGCTCTCGACCTGTGGTTAGAGGCATCGTTTCTATATTGCATGACATTTGGAGGTAATAAATCCTTATCTTGAGCAAAATAAGCAAGCTGACATTCAGTACAACCGGTGTATTTTATTTAGAATACATACAAATGGAATTTACTTCTTTTAGTTTGTCAAAAGATTTAAAGTAACATTTTTGAAGAGTGCGCATGTGCTCTACTATGTAAGAACGAGCCAAATATTGAGTCTGGTAATAAAGCAAAATAACTGAGAACAATTTAAAATAGTCCTCAGATAATATGTCTGTAATTTATATTAATAAATCTAGCGTTAATTGGATCTAAAACAGTTTAATTAAAAGTAGTTACTCCACCACGTGCGAAACCATCGTGGTTGAACGATACTTTGCGACAATGGGTTTCGGGAAACAGTCGCGACTAGCTAGTAGATTTCTCCAACGATGCATCGTACTATGGTAGTGAAATAGTGAATTACAGCGTTGTACGGGAAATGCACCCCTGGGCTTTATGGCAGAGTGGTGAAGACAGAATTAAGTGAAGACACATGGTATGACACTTGGAAAAAAAGCTCTTAAAGGACTCTCTTAGACTGTGAGAAACAAGATTTTCTGGTCTGATGGACCTTGGTTCTAAGCATCATGTATGGCGGAAACCAGGCACCGCTCATCATCTGCACAATACCATCCCAACAGTACAGCATTATGCTGTGGGGGTGGGACTGGAGGAAACATCAGAGTAGAAGAAAAGCTCAATGCAGCAAAATATAGAGATGGCTTTATTGAAAACATAGTCTACGTTCACACTGCAGGCTGAAACGACCTAATTCCGATTTTTTTGCCCCTATGCGACCTATATCTGATTTTTTGCATGACAGTCTGAACGACACAGATCCGATCTTTTCAAATGTGACCCAGGCCACTTGGGTATGTGGTCCAAATCCGATATGTATCCGATCTTTTGAAATGCGACTTCAATCTGAACGGTCAGGTCACATATATCCGACCCGCACGTCATTGCACGCACCTGTAAGAAGCCAATACACGCTAACTCCAATGCGTTTCTGCACTGTTATGGGCCGCTGCAGACGTGTCTCTTCCCCAGTGTTGTGCCTGAACGCGTTCAATGAACGATAATGCATGAATGCGTTCATATTTTGTTTCAAAATAAACGTACTGTATTATTGCCTGATGAACATTACTGTGAACACGTTCATTCTGGTGTCTGTGAACGTGCGCTCTCTGTCAGTTTAACTTCGTACAGTAGGGTGCCAGATTTCTATAGAGCCTTCCAGGTGAAAACCTGGCTAAAACACATGTAAACATGCCTGAAAACACCCAATCTGGCAACACCAGCCACCAGTGTCGCACCGCGGACGGCGGCGACAAAGCAAGGAGCGCGGAGGGAGGTACTATCAATTAAACGGGTTTTATGACGAGGTCGGTGAAGATTGGAAAAATCGTACATTTATGTGCAAACTTTGCCCGTCGATAAAATAATTGTTGTCTGTGTATGGGCTGTGGGCTGTGGCATTAATAATAATAAAACAAAAGCTCGCAACATATGGAAAAAAAAGAACTATTCCGCAAACAACAAGTGACGTCGTTGACCGTTGATTACTCTTCTGCAGTGTTGTGCAAGTTACTTCCAAACTATAATACATTAGGTATTACTTGTTACTGTTATTTAAAAGTAATTCATTACCTTACAATATTACTGTCTCTGAATTGTAATGCATTATATTACTCATGTATTACTTTTGAGTTACTTTCACCAAAATAACTAAGTAGTACTTAACTTTTGGGCTGTAACGATATGCAATATGAAACCGAAATCGCGATTTGCCACACGACTCAGATCCACGAACCTACAGAATCGCGACACACCTCTTCCAACTCCCAGCGTTATTCTCCTTACCGTCCAGATCCAATGCTGCCTTATCTTAAAATTAGGCTATTAGTATTATTTGAAGTTAACATTATAAAATACGTAGACCTACACCACAAAACTAGTTGAGGATAAATTATTTAAAATTGGGGAAGTCCAGCATTATGGACATGACATTTGCAGTCAAAACTTGAAATAAAAATTCTCAGAAAATACATGTATTGAAACATATATAGGCTACTTCCTTAAAGGACTCCAGACATTAGACAAATATCAGTCTATGTTTTATTTTTAATATTAGGGAAAAGACACACATTCATGCGTGACAAAAAAATAGGAGGTAAAATATATTTTTTGTAATTCTGTTAATTACACTGTGCAAATCGGATGAGGAAGGGTTGGCTCTCCAGTCTCCATAGAACTTAAAATATTCATTTTATTTTAGTTTTCGTGTTCGCATTTATGAGGAAAAAACAATGTTACAGACGCGACCGCTCTGAACTGGCACTAAAAGACTGCTTTAAACCTTTCACATAATCTGTTGCCTTTAAGAAGTAAAAGCAGACAATACACTGTAATACAACTGTAATACAAGCCTCACTGAACATGTAACGAGTAAAATATTACTGAAAATTGATTAGTAATGCCTTACACTACTGCGTTACAGCAAAAAGTAATATGTTACTGTAATGTATTACTTTTGTAATGCGTTACTCCCAACACTGCTCTTCTGCGCATGCGGGTCACTTCTGGGTCATTTTACGTTCACACAGGAGATCACAAAAGGTCTCATTTAATTGGAAATGTGAATGTCCTTGCAAAAAAAAATCGCATTTTTTCAAAAAATCGGAATTGAGCATTAAGCCCTGCAGTGTGAACGTAGCCATAGTTTTTCTTTTTTTTTTTTTTTTGCATTGTCATTATGCAGCGCACTGCGCAGTCTCATCTCAAGACATCATATAACTGATGTCTTGGGACATCTTTTGACCATACGTCAACATCCGCCTTTTTAGGGTACCCTTTAACGTTGGTTAGATGACGTTATCGGATCCTAACCCTACCCCAGACCTAAACCTACCCCTAAACCTACCCCGTCACCTAACTGACGTTAAAGGTAAAGCGTCAGTTGTATGACGGCCCGGGATCGTCATCTAACCGACTTTTAAGGGGTACCCTAAAAAGGCGGATGTTGACGTATGGTCTATCAAAAGACGTCCCAAGACGTCAGTTATATGACGTCTTGGGGTGAGACTGTGTTACATTATGGTGTATAGAGAGTAGATTGATGTGAAAAAAATCAGTTAAATTAGTTCAACATAAGGCAGCAACATAACAAAATGTGAAAAAGTAAGGTGTGTGAATTCTTTTGCAAGGCTCTGTATACAATTATATTGTTTAGCTTTTCTCTTCACCTCAACCCACCCTTATACCTAACCATACCATGAAACCTGTCCCTAATCTTAACTGTATCCCACCTCAGTAGCAGCAAGTGTTTTGTAATACAACATGTACACAATAAGATAATTGTACCTAACAATTTTTCTATGTATGTACATGGTTAAAGATGGGTAATATAAAGATGCGCCCCAAGATTTTGTTTTTGTTGACATGATAAAAAGTTTTATGAAATAAAAAAAAAAATCTGAATCTGTCAGAGTGTCAGAATCCCCAGCATCTCCTCTGTTTAAACACATTTTGGCTGAAAAGATGCAGAATTTGTGTGTATTATGATGTGTGTTTGCTGAGCTGGCTCTTCATTTGCTGTTGTTGGATTTTTTTCAAGCCATTTTCAAAGATCTCTGTTGGAGTGCTTGGCAACCAAAGCAAATATTCAGCGGTCTAATGTTTGCCAGAGCATAAAGGTCTGTTCCAGTGCTGGGAGTGACATGTTATTAAAACTACTTGAATCTGTAAAATCTGCTCTCAGAGGCCTAGGAGGTGACTGGTTTTTGCTTTGATACTTTGAATGTGTAGATTAATTTGTTCAGATTAAACAGTGTCTGAAGGTACACGGCTATGATTTATTTTGGGTTGTGCAGTAATTATTCTCTGTGTTTTTGGAATCCTGCTCTCTAAAAGTCTCTCTCCATGATGCAAACATATGGTTATCATGACTCTACTGGTTTTGGCCTTTGGTGCATTTTTTTTTTTCTCGTTCCAAAATTTTTGAATTGTGGCTGATCAATGTGTGCTCTCTAGTGTATAAGTGTGTACTGCAGGGTCCAAATTAACAAATGTAGATGAACTACGGTAAATGTACTACTTTGTTTTTCTTTATCTTTTGTCTTTCTCTCAGGATTTGTTGGATCATTCCTGTACATCTGGTAGTGGCTCTGGACTGCCTTTCCTGGTCCAGAGGACAGTAGCCCGACAGATCACTCTCAGCGAGTGTGTCGGTATGTGCCCACAGCCCCACAGCATCTCAGTGCTTTATCAGAACTATGTTTGTGTGATTTTCAGATTTTATGTTGTAGGTTAGCAGCTCATTTAAAACTAAATTATACACCAAATGGCTTTCAGTTACTAAGCTATAGTTATGGGACAATTTTTACCAGTAGTAAGCTATATCTGACACAACGTCATTTTTTATTTATCTGGGTTATGTCCTCAATAAAAAACAACAACAAAACCCTGCATAAACTGTTACATTACATAGCTTATATATTTCTGCAAAGTCATTAGCTGTAAATAAAACAATATAAGTCTATGTTGTGGCCTTATTAAACAACTAAAACAATTAATTAAGCATATATGTGTTTTCTTTCAGGTAAAGGTCGATATGGAGAGGTCTGGAGAGGTCAGTGGCAGGGAGAAAGTGTGGCTGTGAAAATATTCTCATCTCGAGATGAGAAATCCTGGTTCAGAGAGACAGAAATCTACAACACTGTCCTACTGCGACACGAGAATATTCTGGGTAAATCATTTACACCTTTCATAATGAAATCAAACCCCTAGAAATTACATTTCCTTTCGTTAGGATACCTCAGTTTTGTAATAAAGAACAGTGATAAAATATTTCACTTAACCATATATTTGCTATATAAAAAGTTTACCTTGGATAAAAATATTTTTCAGGCTTCATTGCATCAGATATGACATCACGTAACTCCAGCACTCAGTTGTGGTTAATCACACATTTTCATGAAATGGGATCTCTCTACGATTACCTGCAACTCAGCATGCTGGATGCTTCTGCTTGTTTACGAATGGCACTGTCCATCGCCAGCGGGCTGGCTCATCTGCACGTGGAGATCTTTGGCACTCAGGGCAAACCAGCCATCGCTCACAGAGACCTAAAAAGCAAAAATATTTTAGTGAACAAAAATGGACAGTGCTGCATCGCAGACCTTGGTAAGAATGGCTTCTGACTGAAGCAAAAGTTATTTTATGCATGCTGTTGATTTCATATGGCTATATATTAAACTATTTAAAATATTAACATGAAGTGTATTTTGGACAGTGTCAGCAAACATTCAAAAACCCCATGTGATCTATGATTTGAAATAACTGTAAAAGTAACAATTCAGATCATTTTAAAGGAACAATCTGACTTTTTGGGACTTTAGCCTATTCACCTTATCCCCCAGAGTTAGATAAGTCCATACATACCTTTTTCATCTCCGTGCGTGCTATAAGTCTGTTTGACGCACCCACCGCTAGCCTAGCTTAGCACAAAGACTGGATGTGAATGGTTGCAGCTTTCATACTAATCCAAATGAGTGACAAAATAACGCAAACGTTTTCCTATTTACATGTTGTGGTTTGTATAGTCACAGACTGTACAAATATCAAGGCCATATGAGACACAGACATCTTTTAACAGTATAAATACTATATGCGAAGCACTGCTACTTTGGCAGAGTGATAACCATCACCTGAGACGCACCGTGACGAGGAGCAGAGAGTTCGCTCAGTGTTGGAGTAAAGAGTAAAGAGTCAGCAATTACTAACGTTAGATAGAAAAGCATAGTTTATCATGGGTGTTTACTTTATTGTATGAGCTGTGACAATAAACAGGGGAGACCAGGTAATACAGTACCATGTTTCATTGAATTCCAAACAAAAATGCATCCAAATTTATAAATATCACAGAACATGAATAAATTATTATTATTACAGGAATTTGAAATGCAATTTATTAGTTGAACCAAATGTATTCAACAGCATATAATATACAGTATAATTGCATTACTATAGGATAGAATAAGGGGAAAGTAATAGCACAAATTGTTTTTGCACAATGAACTCACAGCCTATCGTACCCTTTTGCACGCTCAAGTTTGTTATTTCCATGGTTCTTTCAAATTTAGGCTACTAGGCGCGCCGCGCGCAGGTTGCAAGTTCAACGCGCTCGTTTTTTTCCAAGCGCGTCCGCGCCGCATCAAGATAGAAACATATTCATACCCTAATCATATAATAGTGTCACTAACGTTACATTAGATCTGACTAATGGCACTGTTACAGTAGGTCATCTAAAAACATGACGGAGCACTTACCTCGGCCGCAGGTGATCCACTTGTCCTGTCTGTGCTATAGATGGGATGGCCTTATCCTTCAGCACATTATGGTCCGTGTGGCAAATTCCATTTTTTCAAAATAGTCGTCCTCATTGAAATGTACCGAGCAAACATAATGTCCCTTGATAATCTATTTAGGTGTGTTTGGATCAACATCCAGAGTAAGTAAGTTAGCCATTTCTTCATCCAGTCAGCGAATTCTGTGAAACATGGTATTACCTCCCCTGTTTACTGTCGCAGCTATTTACAATAGAGCGAAAACCCATGACTGTAAACGAATCGGTTACCTAACGTGACCTCGGTTCTCTCTAGATGAGGGAACGAGTATTGCGTAAGCTAGCTTACGCTACGGGAAAGATTCATCTTTTCTGAGAAGTTGAAGCCAAAAAATTATCCTTTAATTTTGTATCCATTGTCAATGCAGTTCCCTGCAGCAGACCATGTGCGGGCTAGCTAGCAGCTCATAGGTTCGCTCAGGGAGAACTGCTACAGCCTATGAGGGAACTCGGTTGAACTCGTGGCCAATGAGAAGCAGACACGCTCTCATTGCGTCAAAGCCCGCCAAACGGCGTGGCCCGAGTCTATAAATAGGCGAGTTTCCCGCTGTTTTCCGGTTTTCATTGAATGGAGCGAGAACACTAGTAGCGCAAGCACGGTCGGGAACGCAATACTCGTTCCCTCATCTAGAGAGAACCGAGGTTACGTTAGGTAACCGATTCGTTCTCTTACGAGAGGTACTCTCGAATTGCGTAAGCTAGCTTACGCTACGGGAACACCTGGTCAACGCCGTGCGCGCTAGGCATCCACAATGAGTCCCCGGGGAGCGATCCTGGGGGACCCTTATAAGTGGGAAATAATGTACATGAAATAAAAAGGGCCAGCAAGCAGGCCGGTGAATGTGTAGTACATGAGCACATGAGGGAAGAACAAGCGGCACGCCGGTTGTATGAGTGACTCCCAATAGTGCAGCTCAACCTAGGAGCTGAAACATACTAGGCTGCTAGTAGCTTTGCCTGCAGGGCGGGTACTTCCAGATTGTAAAATCTGACAAAGGTGGAAGGGGAAGCCCATCCTGCTGCCACGCATATGCCTTGAATGGAAATGCCGCTGGACCATGCCCACCATGAGGCCATGCCTCTTGTGGAGTGAGCCCTGATGCCCAGAGGGCATGGCAGGTCTTTTGATGCATAAGCAGAAGCAATAGCGTCCACAATCCATCTGGATAGTGTCTGTTTCAAGGCGGCCAGGCCCTTGGTGCGCCCACCAAACGAAACAAAAAGCTGCTCAGAGCGTCTGAACGCGGCAGCGTGTGTAGTGTTCAATCTCAGAGCCCGAACCGGAAAGGAGATTGGCGTCACGTTCGCTATCGGATGCGGGTAGGGCCGATAGGGAAATGACCTGAGCCCTGAACGGGGTACCTATTGCTTTGGGGACATAGCCATGTCTAGGTTTGTGGATGACTATGGAGTCATTGGGTCCAAACTCAAGACACGCTGCGCTAGAAGAGAGCGCGTGAAGGTCTCCCACACGTTTTACTGATGATAGAGCAGTCAGAAAAAATGTGCAGCCCCTGACTCCGCAGGGGGTCGAGCACCGTATCCATGCACTTCGTAAACCTACGGGGTGCTAAGATAGGCCGAACGGGAGGACTGTGTATTGATCTAGGATCGGTCTGAGGCCGCCGTCTTTCTTGGGGACAAGAAAATAACGGCCGTAAAACCCGGACTCGCTCATAGAACGCGGAACTCTCCCTCTATAGCCTTTTGGCACAAAAGCTTCTCTATCTCTGAGCGAAGCGTGTTTGCTGCTTCTGAACTCACTGTAGTTTCGAGCCGCGCCCGAAAGCGTGGAGGGCGGCGACGGAACTGTAACAGATAGCCGTATTCTATTGTGCTTGGCACCCATGGGGAGATTTCCCGGAATAGCTTCCCATGCTAGAAGCGCGATGCTTGCAGGTGAATGGCTATATCGCCCTGATTGTTGCACATAGCGGGCTGGACACAGTGTGGGGGTACGCTAGAATGTTTTCGGCAACGGGACTTACACTCAGAGAGGAGTTTATGGGCCATGTAAGAGAGCGGGCAGAGGGGAGACGCGCACACGGGCTCGAGGGCGCGCTTATGCACTCTGACACTTGAGCGGGCTGTGTCCGCTCTATGGGAGTGGGCTCTGAGCAGTGTTGGGAGTAACGCATTACAAAAGTAATACATTACAGTAACATATTACTTTTTGCTGTAACGCAGTAGTGTAAGGCATTACTAATCAATTTTCAGTAATATTTTACTCGTTACATGTTCAGTGAGGCTTGTATTACAGTTGTATTACAGTGTATTGTCTGCTTTTACTTCTTAAAGGCAACAGATTATGTGAAAGGTTTAAAGCAGTCTTTTAGTGCCAGTTCAGAGCGGTCGCGTCTGTAACATTGTTTTTTCCTCATAAATGCGAACACGAAAACTAAAATAAAATGAATATTTTAAGTTCTATGGAGACTGGAGAGCCAACCCTTCCTCATCCGATTTGCACAGTGTAATTAACAGAATTACAAAAAATATATTTTACCTCCTATTTTTTTGTCACGCATGAATGTGTGTCTTTTCCCTAATATTAAAAATAAAACATAGACTGATATTTGTCTAATGTCTGGAGTCCTTTAAGGAAGTAGCCTATATATGTTTCAATACATGTATTTTCTGAGAATTTTTATTTCAAGTTTTGACTGCAAATGTCATGTCCATAATGCTGGACTTCCCCAATTTTAAATAATTTATCCTCAACTAGTTTTGTGGTGTAGGTCTACGTATTTTATAATGTTAACTTCAAATAATACTAATAGCCTAATTTTAAGATAAGGCAGCATTGGATCTGGACGGTAAGGAGAATAACGCTGGGAGTTGGAAGAGGTGTGTCGCGATTCTGTAGGTTCGTCGATCTGAGTCGTGTGGCAAATCGCGATTTCGGTTTCATATTGCATATCGTTACAGCCCAAAAGTTAAGTACTACTTAGTTATTTTGGTGAAAGTAACTCAAAAGTAATACATGAGTAATGTAATGCATTACAATTCAGAGACAGTAATATTGTAAGGTAATGAATTACTTTTAAATAACAGTAACAAGTAATACCTAATGTATTATAGTTTGGAAGTAACTTGCACAACACTGGCTCTGAGAGAGACACGAGACATGTGGTGCTTTTGTGTATGGGTGAACACTGGATTGTGGGCACATTTTTCTACACAAGAGGCTTTATGCAGAGGGACGCGTGCACGGCTCGTGGGCGCGCTTATGAACTCTGACACTCGAGCGGGCAGTGTCCGCTTTATGAGAGTGGGCTCTGACAGAGGCACAGGGAGTGTGGTGCTTTTGTGTATGGGCGAACACAGGATTGTGGGCACATATTCTACACAAAAGGCGTGTGTATACATACACATGTACTGTATGTGTATACACATAGCGGGCTGAGCAAGTGTGTGAGCGCGCTTACAGTGCTTGTGCGTGACGGCTCGTGGACAGCCAATGGCTGTTTAGTGAGTGACTTTCCGATAACGTGAATGGGGAGCGAGTCACGGTGTGATGAGCCAGCGCGGGTACGGGTGTGGTGTTTGTGTGTAGGAGTGAACACTGAGCTGTGGGCACATATACTACACTTATCTCAGACCTTTTGCACTTTACAGACATTATTATGGCCGCGTGCATGTAGAAACGTGAGCGCTGCAAGCGGGCACGAGACTGAAGAGGCTGGGGTGCGCGCGACCTGGCCGTGTAATAGAGCGGGCAGAAAGATGTGAGCACAGTTGTGGGCACATCTTTTACAGATAACACTCGCAGCATAGCCAGCTAAGAGAGTGGGTTCTGTTAGACACGGGAATGCTGTGTTTTAATATGGGTGAGCACATGGGTGTGGGCACCTATTACACTTGAACAGAAATAGCGTCAATCTAAATCTGTTGGCGTTATTGCAGGCGTTCATTTTATGACTGGCTCGTTGCTGCAATATAGACATTTTCGGCCGCTCGAACGAGGAAAGAGAAACGTTAGAGAGATGGGTGCTAGCCGGCCTCGGCGGGTTAAAACACACTCGTTTCTCATGTCGCTGCTGCCGCATGTGCGCGGGAGAGCGTGGCCGCGAGCTCAGAGCTGCATAAAGTTCTGCGAGAGCCGGAATCGAACACGGGTCTCTGGCACGAAAAGCTGTGTGTTTTACCACTGAGCCACAGCAGTAAAGACACAAGCTGACTAGCGTGAGCAGATAAGATGGCGTGATAGTGGCGAACAGGTACAGCCTCGGCGGAACGAACACACCATAAACCCATTTTCGGTGAAGTTATGCACGGGGGGCGTCTACGGCCGCTCGAACGAGGAAAGATAAACGTTAGAGAGATGGGTGCTAACCGGCCTCGGCGGGCTAAAAACACACTCGTTTCTCATGTCGCCGCTGACGCATTTGCGCGGGAGAGCGCGGCCCCTTTCTGTAACGTAAGAAAGTTGGCCGCGACCTCAGAGCTGCATAACATTATTTGCGAGAGCCGGAATCGACCACGGGTCTCTGGCGCGAAAAACTTTGTGTTTTACCACTGAGCCACAGCAGTAAAGACACAAGCTGATACGCGCGAGCAGATAAGAGGCCGCGGGGGGCGGGCTAGCTCTCTTGTAAAGTAAAGAAAGCTAGCCGCGGTAAGCGGCTCGTCCCTGATACAGCGCGGGACACCGGCGCTGAGAGGAGATGTGTGCAAGGCATCTTTAAAAAGACGCTCGCTGCTCTTTTGTGAAGTTACACAAGCAAAATACAAATGTAAGGATACGTCGCCGGATGGCGTTAGCTCACAGGATGGCTGAAGGTGGCAAAGACGGCCGGCTTCCTCAGACTCTGTCCACGCTCGCTAAGAGATGCCTTCTCCACGGCGACACGGCTTCCTCTCGGAGATCAGCAGGTGCATATGGCCTCGCTGAATAGATGAAAATCGGAAAACAGCGGGAAACTCGCCTATTTATAGACTCGGGCCACGCCGTTTGGCGGGCTTTGATGCAATGAGAGCGTGTCTTCTTCTCATTGGCCACGAGTTCAACCGAGTTCCCTCATAGGCTGTAGCAGTTCTCCCTGAGCGAACCTATGAGCTGCTAGCTAGCCCGCTCATGGTCTGCTGCAGGGAACTGCGTTGACAATGGATACAAAATTAAATTTTTTGGCTTCAACTTCTCAGAAAAGATGAATCTTTCCCGTAGCGTAAGCTAGCTTACGCAATACGAGAGAACCTCTCGTAAGAGAACTACGCTTTTACTATTTATAAATTGCTGACTCTGTTACCCAAACACTAAGCGAACTCTCTGCTCCTCACCACGGCGTGTCTCAGGTGATGCGGTTATCACTCCGTCAAAGTAGCAGTGCTTTGCCTTCAGAGAATAGTTCCCAGGTTTTATACGGTTAAAAGATGTCTGGGTCTCATTTGACTTTGTTATTTGTACACTCTGTGACTATAAAAATCACAACATGTAAATAGGAAAACGTTAGCGTTATTTTGTCACTCATTTGGATTAGTATGAAAGCTGCAGCCATTCACATCCAGTCTTTGTGCTAAGCTAGGCTAGCGGTGGGTGCGTCAAACAGACTTATAGCACGCACGGAGATGAAAAAGGTATGTATGGACTTATCTAACTCTGGGGGATAAGGTGAATAGGCTAAAGTAACAAAAAGTCGGAGTGTTCCTTTAAGCATAAGTGATATGCAACTGTTATTTGGTCTGCAAATCAGAAACTACTATCTAAACACACAGTTATCCTTGAAGCCTCCTAATGCATGAACCTTTATAAAAAAAAAATACATAAAAAAAATCACATCAAATACCTTTATTTTTTAGCCATTTTTATAGTTATACAACATTTTTTGTTAGGCTGAATAAGTTAGGGCCATAATCATGCCAATAGAGGACAGATTAATGGGTTTTAAATAATTTATTGTAAATATTTTGTTGCCTACTTCCGTCTGTCAATCACTTGTCTGGTTTCTAATATTAAAAATCACTTGTTTGTTCCCTCAATATTTATCTATTGAACATGTTGCTCTTTATACGCAAATAAGTAGAAAGCCGAAGCGAGCTATTTGCTCATATAGGACGGACACTTTAAATGATGTCTTTATTAAATTCACTCTGACTCATTTTAGAGCTCCAGGGTTCATTTCTGGAACTTCAGGCCGTTAATAGAAGAAATCAGTTGTTTCCTCCTAAAACTCTAACAAAAACCCATTAGGTAGCTTTTAGCTAACACGTATCTGGGAACTCTTCCATACACAGGAAGTGGAACACAAGATTAGTTTTTGTACAGCACTTGAAATTACATACAGCACATTAAGAAAAGCAACATGTTCTTCTTAGTCACAGGATGTGAAAACATGTCCATATGGGACTATTTTTTCCCTGCATGCTCAAATTGTTTTTCAAGACCTTTGGAGACTTGTTGTTCATGTTTACTTAATTTCACATGAAATTTAATTAATTAATTCCCACAAGAAGGTGCTATACAACATTTAAGAAGGCAATTAGCTTTTTCCATCAAACTATGGTGATATAAATCTCAGAATATCCATTATGCTTTTAAGGGTGTATGCATATATTTGTCCAATTAAATGTTAAATTACAATATGATACCCTTCCTCTAACATTATAAATACTATCTGGAAATTAGTCTATTTGAAAGTGTAATCATTCCTTTCGCCCCTGGGTAAAAGATGTCAACTGTTGTTTTGCTGAGCTGTGGAAAAGAGCTGTCCTTCAATATGTACAGTCGTGCTCAGAATTAATGGGACCCCTGGTAAATATGATGAAAACTGGCTGTAAAAAATAATTCTGCATTGTTTATCCTTTTGATCTTCCATTCAAAAAATTGGCAAAATTCTAACCTTTCATTGAAGCATTTCTCATTGAAGCATTTTTCATTTCTAACCTTTAATTGAAAGTGCGAGTAAATCACACTATGAAATAAATGTTTTTCTCCAAAACACTCTGGCCATAATTGTTGGCACCCCTAGAATTTTTTATGAGAAAAATATCTCTGAAGTACATTCACATTAATATTTAATTTTTTAAGCACATCAGGGTGACTAGGAACATGAAATTGTCCAGCTATGACTGTGAAGGAGTTTAAATATGAGGAAGCGCAAAGGTCAAATTCCCTGAATCATCCATCACAATGAATAAAACCAAAGAACATGGTTCTGATGTGCATCAAAAGATTGTTGAGCTTCACAAAATAGAAAGTGGATGTAAGAAAATAGCTAAAGAATTGAAAATCCCCATTTTGACCATCAGGACAATAATTAAGAAGTTATAATCAACTAAAGATGTTATGATTCTGCCAGGAAGAGGACGTGTGTCTATTTTGCCTTAATGGACGGTGAGGATGAAAGTTTGAGTGTCCAAAGACTCTTCAAGGATCACAGATGGAGAATTGCAGAGATTAGTTGAGTCTTGGGGTCAGAAAACCTAAAAAAAAAAAAAAATCAGACAACCCCTACATCCCCACATGTTGTTTGAGAGGGTTTCAAGAAAAATGCTCCTCGCTTATCCAAAAACAAACTCCAGCATATTCAGGTGTCAGACACGACTGGATCTTCAAACGGCACAGGGTTCTGTGGTCAGATGAAACTAAAAAAGGGGCTTTTTGGCAGCAAACCCAGCAGATGTGTTTGGTGCAAACAGGGATGAAGAGTACCCCATGCCTACGGTTAAATATACTGCTGGATCTTGTATGTTGTGGGCCTATTTATTTGCTGGAGGTCCTGGACATCTTGTTCAGATACATGGTATTATGGATTCTATCAAATACAAAAAGATAAAAAATAAAAACCTGATGCCTTCTGCTGGAAATCTTATAATGGGCCGTGGTTGGATCTTCCATCAGGACAACGATCCAAAAACAAAAATCAACACAAAAATGAGTTACGGAGCACAAAATGAAGCTTCTGCCATCTGTTATCTTGGCAAAAGTTTACAGATCTGAGGTTGCAAAAAGTTTTTAATAACAGGGTGCCAACAATTATGGCCAGAGTGTTTTGAAGAAAAACATTTATTTCATAGTGTGATTTACCCCCACTTTCAATTCTTTTGTTCAAATGAAAGGTTAGAATTTTGCCAATTTTTTGAATGGAAGATCAAAAGGATAAACAATGCAGAATTATTTTTTACAGCCAGTTTTAATCATATTTACCAGGGGTCCCATTAATTCTGAGCACGACTGTACATCCTCAATTTTAATAATAAAGACATCAACACATGGAAGAAAACGACTGAGTGGGCTCATCAAACCATTTTATGGCATCTTTTAAATGTAGAATGCACTCAAGCAAATGCACGCAAATGCAAAGCTACAGTACTGATAGATATTGTGTTATTTGATAATGATTCTTTTGGTCACACATTTGTGTTCTTCAGGTCTTGCTGTGATGCATTTTCAGGACACAAATGAGCTGGATGTTGGGAATAATCCTAAAGTTGGGACAAAACGCTACATGGCACCTGAGGTTCTGGATGACTCCATTCAAACAGATTGCTTTGAGTCTTACAAACGAGTTGATATCTGGGCCTTTGGACTCGTGCTGTGGGAAATTGCTAGAAGAACAGTTAGTATTGGTACGTATATCTTTACATCTGCTTCACATACTTAACATGGTACGTATATATTTACATCTGCTCAACATGTAGCTTCATGCCAAGGTGGGGAAATTATCCTGTTAAACAATTATAAGATGGTCAGTTTTAATTGCTATTTGCATCATGAATTACACTTAATGAGGAGCATGTCAACAAAAGCCGAAAAAACGAAATATTAAGAGATTTTGAGATCGCATGGCACTGAGTTGGTACAGGATGGTGAAAGTGTTTCTCAGCCAGTCGCAAGATATAGCAAAGATCTAGACTATGCTCTGGAAAATCTCTGATTATGTTAGGGGCACTGAAGACATTCACTGAAATACAACTTTTGAGGAGAAACAACCATCTACTCTGATCATGTGAATTGATGAAAAAAAATAGTAAAGTTCCTTGAAGAAACTTTGAAGAATGGCAAGTGAACCTTCCTTCAAATACATTTTAGCTTAATCTTTTAAGAGAGGTAAAGAATCAGAGTCATCCACATCCAGTCCTTAAGCCTTGAGACCAGAGAGGGATATAAATGCGCTGTTTGTCCAAAGTATGTTACAGATATAACAGTGATTGTATTGATCCTTCGTCTCTCACTCTCTCTCATACAGACACAGACACACACACAAACACACACACATACTACTCGAACCTTCGTGATGACACCCAATCATAGAGCAGAGCATCAACTCTGCGTCATCATTTCTAAACTCCTGTTTTGTTCCGTCTTCATTAAAACACCCTCCTGAGATTTAAAACGCAAAACGGACCTGCAGTGTTTCTAAACTTCTCTGTTTTAGGTCTTCATTTTTTCCGTTTTAGTCTGGACGGGAGGTGCAAACGTAGCAAAAGGTCTCAGTTTTTAAACGAAAACACAGTAGTGGGGACGGGGCCTTAGTATCACACACTACTATATCTTTGACATTTTTGATATGGTCCCATAATATGCTTTGTGCCTTTCCATGCTGTATTCTGCAATAACATCAGTGGCCATGGCCTTAATAAGCTCAAACTGCTGCATGAACCTGCTCCTGCTGATCGACTGTCCTGCACAGTTCATCTCCAAACCTAATCAAACACACCTGCCTTTAATTTTCAAGTGATCCTGAAGACCTTAATTGGTTGTTTCAGGTGTGTTTGATTAGAGTTAGAGATAAACTTTGCAGGACAGTCGATCGACAGGAGCAGGGTTGGGCACCCCTGATCTAGAGGGACCACCACTTTGTCTAATGTCAGTTGAGGGTCCATTTGTAACTCTTGGCAAATCTCATGATCTGCAATTCCTGTACCATGTACCATCTGATGAATCTGTACCATATTCCTCTTAGCTTGCATTGAACTCGCGGTATTCAGCCAAATCATCGAAGCATCTCACAAAAGCATCAACAGTCTCTCCTGATCTTTGTGTGCACTGGTGAAAACAGGCCCTCTCATATATAACGTTCCTCCGGAGAACAAAATATTTATTAAATTTGCCAACAACAGTCTAGTAATTATTTGCATGCAAAGCTTCACTAAGTGTGAACGATCCGAATATCACTTCGGCATCTTTACCCATTGCATAAAGCAGGGAATTGACTAGTACTTCACCGCATTCCTTGTTCAGCTTCATTGCGATGGGAAACCGTGGGGGAACCGCTGTATCGCAGGCTGTGCAACATTGATGTCATCTCAAGGCTCATTTCAGTTCTCGTCCGATAGTGTCAGTACATTTTAAAAATGTTGTTGAATATTAAGTCTCCCCAACTAAGTAAGCCAGAGGCGACAGTGGCAATGATTCCAAGGGACATTTCTCAGTTAACAGAGTGGAGAAAAAAAACTTGGCTCAGTCAGGGGGCCAGTTCTCCTCTGGCCAAGGAACGAGCAGGGTGTGATTATGATTCCAGGCTGAATCACAAGTCAGATGTTAGATTGTGGATTGGTATCAATCAAAATATTGTATCCAGTTCCTTCTGCTTGAAAATCAGTTTCATCACACTGGTATGGAGACAGGGCCGGCGCGTCCACATGGGCGAACTAGGCAATTGCCTAGAGCAGCGCTTGTGTAAGGTGCAAAATTTGTGCCAAACGGCAATGAACAATTCACAAACTAGGTTATTTATATGATTTACTGAGCTGCGGCCGTCCCGCTCTCACGAGTCATGACCGTTTTAGCTTCTGCCGCCCCCCCAGCACCGCGAGCCCCTGCATGCACTAAATGTGTAAGCTAGAAGTGTTAATATTTTTCCTTGTAATAATGTATGATTTGCAAAAATAAAAACTGCTGCATCTGTGTTGGTGAGAGAATCAAAGTGTATGCGCGTTGTGCACCCGCTACATTATGGCCAAGCATGCACCCTTAAAATACCATTATTAACAACGTGCAACGTGCCACTGACTTTAGACTAGTTTTTTTTTCGCGTTATATGTATATGGCATGGCATGTTGGTCTTTGTTTTTTTTGTTGCTGGTATACGTTGCAAATAGAGGGGCGGCAAAATCGTTTTTCGCCTAGAGCGGCAGAAGTGCACGCGCCGGTCCTGTATGGAGACAAAGCTGGCCATCACGGTCTGTGCAGAGGACTTGTCTGGTTCTCCTGGTCTTTGCATTGCACATCACTCCATTATTTCAAGAAATTTGACTGAATAATGAATAATAATTGTAAAGACTGTTTGGGTTTGATCAAGGGGGAATTTGCATATCATAATTAATAATTGATAATTAATAATTATTCATACAGATTTGGATCAGACTAGTCTTACATGTTAATAAATCTCCCATTGAGGAAAGCTTTGTCAATTTTACCCGCATGCATGCATGTGCAACCCTGCAAGTAACCACAAATTAATTGTAATCAATTACACTGACCACGTTTTACAAGACAGGTAAAATTAATTAGCTCAATTAAGTTATAGAGTTTATGAAAAGTAATTCTGTGGTGGCGCATGAAAGTATCTACTATGGATAACAATGTAGGCCTAAACGTGGTGGATAGGGCTGATATCTTGGGTTTATTGTCGATGAGACTCGCACACCAGCGCACAGTTCACTGACTCCCACGCAAGCATATTGATCAATGAGTTTGAAACACGACTCAATACGCGGTGAAATGTGCGTTTGTTTCTCTCCGTGTTCTGCACTGGTGTGCGAGTCTCATCGTCAATAATCACAAGCCAAAAGCAAGCTGTCAGCTATCATATTCATGTGTTAACCCTATACAGTATAGCCTACCCTACATACAGTTAGGGTGATATACACGACTTAAAATGTGATATTGCCCACACAGCTCTTGCGTTTCGTTTGGTCACATTCCAAAAGGTGTCATCGATTGCTCATGTCTGAGTTAATACACGCCCCCCTCATTAGTATATGGACAAAGAAATGTTGGAATAAATAAATGTGGAAATAAATGAATGTGAAAATAAATAAATGTAGACATAAAAACATAAATACATAAATGAATGTAGAAATAAATAAAAGTGGAAATAAATAAATAAATGTGTGAAAAAATACAATTATACATAAATAAGGAAATAAAAGTATAAATACTCATTTATTTGTACTATTTCACATTTCTTTATATATTTATTTCTGTATTTATTTATGTATTTTTGCTTTTTTACATTTCTTTGTATATTTATTTATGCATTTATTTATTTTTAATTAAGTCAGCTTTGGCATTCCATAACGCAAGCTGTGTGGGCAATATCACATTTTAAGTCGTGTATATCACCCTAACTGTATGTAGGGTAGGCTATATAGGGTTAACACATGAATATGATTATTATACCTTTATTTAACCAGCAAATCCCATTGAGATTAAGAATCTCTTTTACAAGAGAGACCTGGCCAAGGTAGCAGCCAAATCACAACAAATAAACAAGTTACATTTTCATGATAAAAGAAGCTAAGAACACAAATGAGTTAAGAACACAATGAGACTCAAGAAAAACAAGAACATGTCTCCATCACAACATTCCTTACAGTAGTTTTAAATTCATTAATTGACATAAGGGTTTCTATTTTTAGCTCTTTTTGTAACCGCTGGTTGTCATTGACAGCGACAACAACTCCCATGAGCCCACGCTCTTTCCCATCGTCATCAAAGTACGTCTTTTGTTATTATTTTAAATAAGTGACCCCTGGTGGCCAAAAATCGCATACTGTAAGTTTAAATCAAACAAAAGTGGCTTGATTTAAACGCATTTAAAAGTGGCAAGATTTAAACGCAGTGAGCCACGCATCTGACGCCATGCATTGGAGCACAGAAGCATCCTGCCCATTCAAACAGCACCGGTCGTGCCCGTGGTCGTGGTGATATTTCCCCCTGTAAATTGATTTTATTTTTATATCTACCCAACCCTTATTAAATAGGTAGGCTAGGCTGTACATCATCATGTCAAGTTCTTAATATTAATCGATAAACTACTAAGTTATAATAATATTAAGGCACTCTGGCTGTTATCAGTAAAATCAAATTAACAAAAGTCATTAAAAGTCAAAATCTTAATACAGAATGCATGCGTGAGAAGCGTGGCTGGCTGCGTTTGATTTTAGAATAATTCAAAATGTAGGCTATGTCTTGTCTTGTGATTAATCAGTATCTGAGCAGCATCGATGGGTTGCATTTTAAACATTTGAATTGTCATCTGTTATGCATACGAAATTAGGAAACGCGGATGGAAACCGCGTATTGAGTCGTGTTTCAAACTCATTGATCAATATGCTTGCGTGGGAGTCAGTGAACTGTACGCTGGTGTGCGAGTCTCATCGACAATAAACGCAAGCTATCAGCCCTATCCACTACGTTTAGGCCTACATTGTTATTAATAGTTGATACTTTCATGCGCTTTCATGTCCAAGTATCTGTTAACCCTATATAGCCTTCCCTACATACAGTTAGGGTGAAATACATGACTTAAAATGTGATATTGACTCTGTGCACGAGAAAAATGCTAACTTCCGCCTTGAGGGCGGATGTTGGGTACTTCGGTTCCGGTTGCCGTTGTTTACATCCTACATCAGTGGACCGGCTATCTAAAGCTTAGCTATCTAAATATATTTGTCTAAAACTATGTTCGTTTGTTCATTGTCAAGTCAACCAACACAGTTTTCACTCATATTTCACTCATAGCCAGGCGCTGCTGCATTGTGAAAAGTAAACGATATTTCACATTTTGTCACCGCACCCAAGCAGTCGCTTTACAGAGTGGAGCGTTGCGTATCCATGACAACTAGAAGGAAGTTTTTAGGCTACTAATTATTTATTATATTATACCCTTTAAACAGGAGAAGCCCCTGGGTTTAGAACCTATTTTGAAAGGGAGACCTGTTTAGAAATATGTGTGAACAGCCTAATATGTGTTAAACAGCCTAACTTGATAACGAACGAACCAACGTCGGATACCTTTACTCCCTGTATGACATGTATAGTGGTTGTCAACACTGATCTATATGACATTCTATATAGATAGTGGTTGTCAACAACATAGCCTCTGAACATCATAAACAAAACAATAGCCAACACAAACTGTTCTGGAAAATGCACTTTCTAACGCATGATTTCGCATTTTATAATGTATAGAGAGATATAACAGTTACCAAATCGCATAGCTTGAGCACGTAGCATGGCAACATTAATGTCCGAGTGATTCCACGTGTACCGCGTATGTACACGCCGTCAAATGTCCGAGCGAAACAAAACAAAATGTAGATCTACATCTGGGGAGCGATATTTATTTTTTCCTAGGATGGTAGGAGTGACGGGTAGGTTGGGGTTGAGGTAGGTCATATGCTATATATATATATATATATATATATATATATATATATATATGAAGAGTTCAGATGCAAAAGCCTCTAAGTGCCATTTGAAATGTTCTTCTAAAATTATCATTTTTATCAAGCTTGTATATTTAATTTCATTAATTTCACTTAAATGGCAATGAAGATTACCTATTAATTGTCATTTAAGTGAAATTACTGAAATTAAATACACAAGCTTGATAAAAATGGTCATTCTAGAACAAAATTTCAAATGGCACTTAGAGGCTTTTGCATCTGAACTCTTCATATATATATATATATATATATATATATATACAATAATAACGTTAAGTCAACGGTATTCATAAACACGCTGAAAAGAGATTATGCGTGTTGATAGCATGCCAAAAATACGTGATACGTGTCATACATACGCAATTTCATGAGATCAGTCTGAGCATGGATATTGTTGTGACTTAACGTTCCCTTCAAAATGATGCAAATACTGAGAAATGTAATATTTAAACCCCTTCTCTCTTGCTCTGGGGAGCTGGAGGAAAATCATTAGCCAGTCGATGAACATAATCGACTGTAATATTCGGCAAATGTTCAAGACATCTGGAGAAATATACATCCTCTACGTCGTCCATCAGGCTACCGGAAACTAGACACCCCATATCGGTTTCGCAGCCGGAACTAGCATATGCTAACGTGCACATAGTCCATTGCCTGCACAGCTCTTGCGGTTTGTTTGGTCACACACCACAAGGTGTCACTGTGGCCTCAAAGCTTCAGAAATGCCACTCTGAGCTCGATTGCTAAAGTCTGAGTTAAAACACACCCCCCTCATTAACATACGGAGAAAGAAATGTTGGAATAAATAAATGTGGAAATGATGAAATGTGGAAATAAATAAATGAAGAGTTCAGATGCAAAAGCCTCTAAATGCCATTTGAAATTTTCATCTTTAATGATGATTTTTATCAAACTTGTATATTTAAGTTCAGTAATGTCACTTAAATAACAATTAATAGGTAATTATCATTGCCATTTAAGTGAAATTACTGAACTTAAATATACGTACAAGTTTGATAAAAATCATCATTAAAGAAGAAAATTTCAAATGGCATTTAGAGGCTTTTGCATCTGAACTCTTCAAATATAGAAATAAAGAAATGTGAAAATAAAGAAATGTAGACATAAAAACATAAATACTGAAATAAATGTGGAAATAAATAAAAGTTGAAATAAATAAATGAATAAATGTGTGGAAAAATACAATTATACATAAATAAAAATAAATATGGAAATAAAAGTATAAATAATCATTTATTTGCACTTTTTTACATTTCTTTATATATTTATTTATGTATTTATTTATGTATTTTTGCTTTTTTAAATTTCTTCGTATATTTATTTATGTATTTATTTATTTTTAATTTAGTCAGCTTTGGCATTCCATAGTTTACAGCCTGGTGGCAAATAGTTGTTTTGGTCTATATCGCTAATTTTGCCCTTCATGACGACTGTGAGGGGGGTGAATTTTTTTACAACTCATCTGTTTAAATTATATTTAAGCCTTAAAGTTCTGCATAATTAAGGGCGTGGCCGTTTGAGTGACAGGTGCCGCTGCTTTCACTGCTAGTCGTTTGTCTGCTGTCTGTTAGCGTCACCCTCAACTGTGTTTTTGCTTTTTCCGGGATTATTTCACACAATTTAATACATGTATTATACCTTCGCCCGTGCACGCCGTTGGATTCCGTCGTGTTGAGTATGGAGAGAACAACCAGCTCTGTGTTTCCAGCTAATGGATGTCTGATGATTTCAGTGCGTTCTCTCCGTCCATGCAATAGATGCACACCCTTGAATGAGCGTGGATTTCTAGTTCATATAGCCTACTTGAACTTCTGGGATAATGGCTTTGGTTTGACCCATCTGAGAAACTGAGAGGAAGCCAAAATCAGATTGTAATGGACTGAATTAAAGCTCTTTACGAACTTGACGTGAGATGCCGACTGACATGTGCTTGCGTTGAATCACTGTCACATGCACAAGCTTAGAGCAATATTGTAAGTAACTAATAGATTTTTAACAAGCAGAATAATAATGCATCACGATGCACATAGTTGACAGCTTGTATGTTGTGAGAAATGTGTGTGATCTGTGTTATGTACTTGCCCCTTGTGAGATTAATAAAGTTGATAAAAAAGTAAATAGCCTCACTTTTAGTTACGTCTTAACTATTATAATATTTCGAAGGGCAAAAACATGAACTTTAACCATTGGCTTTACTTTTTCAATCAACTCAACTGTCAATTCACCGCGAGGGCAGTAGCATATAGTATTAGTACCTCAGCTCCACCCGCATCCTGCCTCTTTGCCCATTTTAATTTATCCGGTAGTGACGAGAGGTGACGCACTGCCAAGATTGCGACGGCCGGCCCCGCCCACTTTAGGCTTGAAAAACGCTCTTCAGAAACCTATGGGTGATGTCACGGATACTACATCCATATTTTTTATAGTCTATGTTGTTTTCAAATCCCGGCGGTGAAGGTTAAGTCGCCTGGCAAAAGTCCTTACATAATAAATAAACATTGTCCAAAAGAGTGTTTGCTTGTGCATGTGTTATTTGGCTTCTACCCCCTTTACATTGAAAGGGTCATTACAGTACTGCCTTCAGAGGCCTGTCTGATACCCTCAGCATGTCTCATCTAAAATGAATCCCTATTGCTCCTTTTTTTCCTAATGGCTTCAGTACTCTATATATAGTCAGCAATGCTGGCGTTCCTGATGAAGCTGAATTTTTCACCTTACGGTTAGCACAATCAATGCTCAGTGATTATCTGTGTAATTTGTTAACCAGTGAAATACTGTTGTGTATGGGTGTAGGTTTGATTTTGAAATTGGTGGGGACTTACCCAGAAGCTGAGGATCCAAGAAACGATTAGGATAACGTATTAAGGTTTTTAGTCTATATTGACCTTAACAATAGCCTGTGTTGAACAATAAATTATGGAATGTTACATGCAATGCAATAGTCAATGTGTCACTGTCACTACACTGTCTTGTTCATTGCTATTTGAATAATCCAAATATGTCTGTACATGTCATTAACAGAAATGAACTGTTGGTTTATTTGTTTCACAATAATATAGACATAGTCCAGTTTGTCCTGGTGACATATGGCACACAGCAATATTATTAGGTCTCACTTGTGCAATTGTCTCCTAAGAGCACTGAAACTTATTTCAGCCCCAGTTGATAAAACTGCACTGTCACTGAATCAATATGTGACACGATTTGCCTGTATTTTCTTGCTCAGAACTGTTGATTTTTCCAGTTTTGGAGGATATTTGCAGCTTCTCACAAACAAATATGACCTCTCAGAAGTAAAAAAAAACAAACAAAAAAAAAACAGTCGGACTAGCAATGTGGATTTGGGAGGCGGGACTAAAGATCTATTAACTGTTTGTGTGCCAGGAATTGCACATTTTTTCACAGAACGCTCTTGTAAGAGATTTTTAATCTCATTGACATGCTTCCTAGTTAAATATGTGGAGTAAAATAATGAATGCATAACCATAAGTTACTGTCTAAATTCTATGCCCCTACTGTTGTCAGAAATAATGATCAGCCAGTATCATCAGATCTTATTATGTGTGATTTTCAAATGTGTGTTTGTTTTCACTGATTGTGCAGGTATTGTTGAAGATTACAAGCCCCCATTCCATGACGTAGTGCCGAGTGACCCAAGCTTTGAGGACATGAAGAAGGTGATATGCACAGACCAACAGAGACCAAACATCCCAAACAGATGGTTTTCAGATCCAGTAAGTACTCTACCTGCTCAAATTCCTGTGCATATACCTTTACAAATCAAGTTAATCAGGCTGTTTGTAAACACTAAATTTAAAATCTTTGATAAAAATTACAGTGTCTTAACAAGATCCAGTGGCAAGCAATTTGTCTTTTCACATTGGATGCTACAATGCTGCCAATCAGAACATTTGAATAGAAATTACATGGTTATAGCTGGTTAGGAAAACGGCTGTTTTAAGCCTAGTTCACACTACATGATTTTAAAACGTCGGGCTGAACTGTGCGGTTCACACTACATTACTTGCTCTCAGTGAAATCAGAAGTGATCAAGTTGTTTAGCTGTTCACACCAAACAACACAACGTGAATGATCCACAACAGTAGGTAACTCACTACACGAGTTGACAACACACTACATAGAGATATAGGCATGATCGGACGATAAGAGCAAATCATTTTTGACTCTAATGAGAGCTGTTTCAGTACTATGGTACGGTCTAAATCATGAAAATAATCAAATAAATAACGAGTTGACAACAACTCTGTCACCCAATGATTCTATCTTGTCTACAAACCAAAAATACAACGAACAAAATAAAATGAACCAGAAATGACGCGAAACAGCACGTGCGCCTATAGACCCCTTTTGCGCCGACGTCACAGTTACGTCACGGCGCTAGCGGGAGGCAAAACAAAGTGCAAACTGGAGGCGGCCAATACAAAACAGCACAGATTCGGCTACATAATGACTTAAATAATTGTTACTATTATTAAATGTCATCTTGTTGTGTTGTTTGGTGCAAGAATTGATGAAAAATGAATATGTTGTATCTGGAACTTTTATTTCTAGAAAATATTCACATCATCAAAATCGCACTGTAATGTCACTCTTTACATTGTCGTGGTCTCAGCGCTGGCTCTGCAGAACTGTGGATCGTACACACAAGTCTTTTACAGGACCATATAGGCATCTAAAGATTTATATGCCCTCAGTTTCTCTTTACGATCGGTTTCTCTATAAGGTAGGTGTAGAAGTCAGGCCACTCACCCGAGGTAACGTACGTTAATCCTGTCAGATCGTCCATGCATTGAGTGAGCGTGTAGGCGGCTACAGGTCGGCCAATCTGGTTCTGTCCGTTAAAAATAACTTTTGAAAATAACAATTGCGGTCCTGGACACTGAGTGACCTTACACATTAAGATAATATCGGATTTTCTCCAGTCATTGTTAAAAAACAAGCTAACAATCCTTGCTAACTAGAGTTAGTGAAGCGTCCAGATGGATCTTTCTGCCTCCACCTAAGCTCCGCCCACAAAAAACGTCACCATGTTTACCAACTGTAAAAGGGTCTATACCCAGCAAAGAAGAGAACACAACACAGAAACACTGTTGCTGCACACTGCGCAACGCTCGTTCTTAATTCGTTCTTAAATCTTAGTTTTTATATTTTTTTTTTGAGAAAAAAATGCAAAAAAAATATATAAAAACTAAGATTTACCTGGTGTCCTCAACCCATGCGTTGCTATGATTGGCTGTACTCATGACATCACTGAGGTCAAGTCGCGCGACGGCTCTGGATATTTAGCAGGCTAGATATTTTTCTGGGCTCGGCGACGCGTCTGTGAGCGTTTTCGCTGTGTTGTTGGCTCTTTCATAATAACAGATTGCAGGCGTTCATCGTCCGCTAATCCCCCGCGATTTGCACGCGATAACACCCTGACCTGTCGGCGAACTCAACGATTTGCAAATCGGGCATAAATCAGGCTTAAAATCCTGTAGTGTGAACTTGGCTTTAGCTGTGTGGATCTTCATTGACCTTGTGATTTCTATTATGATCCCAAAGCTAACAATTTGATTTCAAAACAATTCTCATTGCATCTTGTTCTCCCAACTGTTTTTAGTAATACACACTAGGGCTTAGCATTGTCACATCAAAATTTCAGTAGCCATTACAATGGAATGCAATCATTGATTTTCCCAAAGATAGCTAACTAAAGATAAAAAAATCTATTACAGTGCTATAGCACTTCCTTTTCCCCATTTAACTTCATTGAATATTTAATTTATTTATACTATTCAATTAAAATTACTTATTACTAATTACAAATGAATAATTAAAACAATTGTATGTAATCAAGTAATGTGTCTACAAACTAAATATAGCTTCAAAATATATAAAAGTAAAGATTAATAAATAAAGAACAAAGAAACAAATTAAAAGCAATAAGCAAAGAGTTCAGTATGAGTGCTTTAAATATCAAAAAGTTTCCAGACAAGAGCAATGAGTGATGCAAGTGCATATTGCTCACACAGTCCCACACAGTGCACTTTACCAAAACACAGTTTTATGGAAGTTTAGATATTTATTTGAGTTTTTGTGTGTGTGGAATTCACAGTAAGCAGAAGATGGTTGTCAAAATTAAAAGCAAAATGTGCGGTTCCAAAATGATTTCAGGGTCGATACGGCAGTTCTTAAGCTTTGATTCAGAATTACTAAGAATAAATAATGTGAATCTGATTTTTTTCTCCCATCATAAGGCAGTATGACATTTCAATCACAGTAATTTATGAGTGATATTTCCAAGTAAGTATATACATTACAAATTGTTTTTTTTTGTTGTTGTTGCCGGAAATACAAAGTAAACATGGTTTTATATTTAACTACCATGCATTAATGGTTTTTATTGGATAATTCATTGAATGAAATACTTTCAATATGAAGGTATTGAACTTAATTTAATTTTTGAAATATAATGGGCCGATATCATAATTAAGAATTTCAATCAATAAAAACATAGGGACATTCTAAAACATTCATTAATAAAGTGAATATTGATTTTTATTTTTTTATTTATTTATTTATTTTTTTAATCATTGTGTACATAAGTACAGTACTTAGTACAAACCTGTTAGAAATGACTGGCGTGCCCTACGGGTGGACGTTCATGAAGGTGTGAGGTCACGTGACATTCTTATTACTTTCTATTGACGATTCCTACATCCGTTGCTTTGTTTTTCACCCTCACATTGCTTGATTCAGTACTTTTTTGTTTTTATTTTTCAGACTTTAACATCAATCGTTAAACTCATGAAGGAATGTTGGTACCAGAATCCATCAGCCAGACTTACAGCATTACGCATCAAAAAGACTCTGACAAAAATTGGTAATTCTCTGGAAAAAGTAAAAATGGACTTATGAACTGCTTCCTTATGGAAGAACCTAAAGGCCTTTAACCATGCCCAGCAGATGTCTCATCTGGAGAACAAACCGGAAAAAGAGATTATCCTGACTTAGTGCTCTTATAGAGGCACATCATATTTATTTGGAGTTTACAGCGGGGGATAATTCATTACAATTATTAAACAGATGAGAATGTGGCCTCAAATTCAAACTTAAACTACCATAAAATCTTTATTTATAGAGAGACAGTTGCTGTAAATAAAGCAGTTGAAGTGAGAGGATGTTTTTTTTTGTGTGTGTTTGAGTTTGTTATATTTAAATTTCTTAGTAATTTGAGCCCCTGAGGAACTCTCTGCAAACCCATGTATATCCATACTCCTTAGCTTTTCTTATTATTTTCATAACAATTAAACAAATTTTTTCCTAAAAAAAAAATTTATTCATTTTAATTTAAAAAAAACTGGGGGGAAAACGACCTGTTCGATTCATCCAAATGATCCACGAGTATTTGTTGAAATAATAAACATCACATAATGGTCTTTTATTGCTTAAAAGCCTTCAAAATAAACAAACAAATAAATAAGTAAACATTCTGTACTTCCTTTACTGAGGTTATTAGAGTTTCCCAATCAAGCTGTTTAGGTTTGCTGGTGCACCCGCCAACCTTCCATCTCTGTCTTTCTCTTTCTGTAATCCTCTTACATTGAGCCACAGGAGGAGGAGCAATTAAGTCTCTCTCTACGTGTTCAGTTGCTCTGGGATTTATTCAGAGTGGAGAAATGCTAGCAGTCACTGTGGAAATGCAGCAGATTAGAGTCATGGTCATTTTGTCCGTAAAGGTGGATGTAATGTGCGGAGAGTGACAGATGTCATGTCTTATCTCAGGTGCTCAGAAGTGGCGCTTTTACTCTTCATTTTTGTGGAACTCACTACAGGTACAGTTTCTTCCCTGTCAGCTCTTTCTCTACTCTTTTGAACTTGTTTTGAGACAAAATAAAAGTAAAAAGAAGTAAGAAGTAAATTTTTGACTGCAACATATGCAAGTAAAGTTGAGTTCGTCGTCACAACAAGATTTGTGTGTAATCTTCTTACTGTATTTAGATGACCTTACATTCTGTTATGATTATGCTTAACTTACTGTTTTAGACGGACTCTGAGCATTATGTAATGAACTGGTTAAAGTCAAAAGATCAAAACATTAGTGTCTGGTGTTCACATGTGTGTTTGGTTCACAGAAAAGGAAAGACAGGTGTTTACTCATTAAATACATCTTTAAAGGCTAATTCACACTGCACAGGTAGATGCCTATTGCCTACCAGTGGTGTTTGTTTTTGCCAACTGAACATGTTCAATCTTCATTTGTCTGGTCGTGGAATGTCTGAGAAGTGATGTTTCTGCATTGGTTAGAGTTTGTCAGCAGTGTGTTATCTTTAAAAAGGCAAAATCTTTAAACCTTAAAAAGATTTACTTAACACAGTCATGAGCAAATGGCAAAATACAGTATTATATTTTTTATTTCAATGCAGTTGGAATGAAAAGCAGCTGAAATAAATGAAGAGTTGTTTGAACTTTGTGTGGAATATTATTAGTGAATTTTTTTTTCAGTGTAATTTAGATGTTTCAATATAAATTGCCATAAAAATCCATAAAAACATTTGGTAACTAAACAGAATTTCATTAAGTTTAATGACGTTACAATATTTACATGACTCTTTTGCTATGTTTTTATTATTCCTTGACACAAATTTCACAATTTCAATTCATAAGATTGCAATTTGATTCCGATATTCAATTTAACTGATTAATTTGGATAAATATCAGGTAAAGTATCTACATGTTATATTTTCTCAAGGTAAAAGTCTTTCAACTAATGCTAAAAACAGGGAGACCTGTCAGCTGGTATTATTTTTAAAGGTTAAAATTAACTACTCCAATTACTATACTGCGGTATTTATAATAATATCGTTATAATATTGTTAATGATATGAGTAAAATATATAATAAATATGTAATATGGTGCATATATTTAGCAAAATACTCGTCTGTAGGTAATTTTTCTTGCTAACATTCTATGGTATTAAACGGCTTTCCTGAGGTATATGTAACGTTGGATGACATTTTGTTCTCCAGCTGTTTTATTGGTCTCTTTCTGCGGCTGAAACACAGTTTGTTGATTACATAACACATAATACATACTATTGCACGATTTTTCTGTGAGAAAATTACACAAATTATTAATATATATATATATAAATATATATATACACACGCTCTCTTTCACGCCTAATTTATAGAGAGAGAGATTGATCCGTTACAGCGAATTTCTCTGAGCAGAAAATTACAAATAACTGTCCATGGATAAAATGGGGAAGAAAAGAAAAGGTGGAGCTGAAAAGTTGTTCCGAGCATTAAAACAAACAAACAAACAAAATAAATCAATAAAACAATCCAATATTGTTTATTTACAAAAACGAGTTCCTTGTTTTATGTTTTAAAACTTTAATTTAAACATTTCATAATTTAAGATTGTGATGATCCTGTAATGTTTAAAATTGGGTAATTTGCATGTGATTAGTGTTTGAGAGAAATTTAAATTAGCTACCTTTACCTTTAGATTTTGTAGCTATATGTTCATTGCAGATAGGACTAACATACACTACAAATTTGCACCTTTTTGTCCATGTGGCTTTCTGGGCAGGTTTTATGATTATTAATATTAATTGTCTTTGGATATTTGCTTTACACTTACAGATATTGATTTCAGAATAATCCCTAATCTGTTTTGTCTCCTTTGTCTCATTTTATCTCTTATACACTCTAAAAAATGCTGGGTTGTTTTAACCCAATTTTGGGTCAAATATGGACAAACCTGAAATGTTGGGTTAAAAATGTAATGTAAAAATTTAACCCAACGGCTGGGTTAGTCCATATTTGACCCAAAGTTGGGTTAAAACAACCCAGCATTTTTTAGAGTGTACACACAAACTCTATTTCACATACATACACAAGATCATTCAAATGTACACACACACACAAGCCATCTCCCCCTCCTACTCATAAAACTCTGCTGAATATATTTTCAAAAATATAAATATTTTCAATCTTGATTCAGGGGTTGTACAACTGAGTGGTGCAGCACTGCTACGTGTTGTATCTTACACTGCACCAAGATGATACCCCCTGATTTGCTGTCTTCATAGTTTTATATTAATAATGTTGTATGTCTTAAATGTTTTTCTGTTTGTTTTCCCTTGTTTTTCAAATATGACCTAATATTTGTTGAGTTACTTAAAATAAATGTTTAAGTAGCATTTATTTTTACTGTATAATTTTATGCTTTAAGTGGTGTTAAAAACTATTCTGTACATTAATGAGCCGATGGTGGACTGCATTGGGCCAGAAAGTTCAGAGACACTTTTTGGTCCCAGTCCGCCCCTAAGAACGGTGTCAAGTTGACTGCCCTGCATAAGGATTTATATAAAAATATAATGCAGGCCTGTTATTTTTATGCCCAGAATACTGAGTGCTCAGAACCTCCCAATCCTTCGGACTTGTGTCTCTGCCGCCTTGCGCATATAGATCAATTTATATTATATTTAGCTCTTTTTGAGGAAAATTGGATTATATCCGGTTGTCTACGTTATTATGATTGGAAATAGGCCTACGTGTCATTTGTGTTTTAACAACTTTAAACATCTTTGTGAGAGAATGAAACCTTTTTAAGGCAAGGCAAAGTTTTGCGGGAGCCTTGTGTTTGAATTCTTTTAATTATTTTGTGTCCATTATTTTTCCAACACCACTCGCAAACAAACTAGATCTACTCAGTATTCTGTGCATAAAAATAACAGCCCTGCATTTATATTTTGCAAATTTATGTTTGTTTGCGAGTCGATTTTTTCCTTTGCAAAGCAGATTGAGTTTGTTTGCAAGTCGAGTTTTCCTTTGCAAAGCAGATCGAGTTTGTTTGCAAAATGCTGGATTTGTTTGTTTAATTATGGTACATAATTCCCTCCATAGGACACGGTGTAGGAAAAAAATTGGCATAGGAGACAAACAAACTCTAATCTTTTGCATTCTTTTGTCTCCCATCACAATTTTTTTTCCAACACCATGTCCAATGTAGTGAATTATGTGCCATAATTAAACAAACAAATTCAGCATTTTGTAAACAAACTCGATCTTCTTTGCGAAGGAAAAAGCGACTCGCAAACAAACAGAAAGCAATTTGCAAAAAATAAAGGTCAATTTGAGCAAAAATGTAGTGGAGTAACCAATATTTTGTTTGTTTGCAGATTTTTTTATATCTTTTTTTTCTGTTGATGAGAATAAACAAAGTCCTTTTCTTGATATTTGCAATTTTCTGCTGTTCATCTCAGAAAATTGAAAGGATCTTTCCGCTTGGCTCCTGACACAAATGGTTTTATGCCAGCCTCGTTACATACACAGGTCGCGGAAGAAACTATGAACGGAATTATCTAGCCTGGATGCCAGCCCGAACTCCGCCCACGACATTTTTTGGTCGGGAAGTTCGGTCTGGACTCGATCCATTGAGGAGTAATTATGATCAGGCAAAAAATGTTCGCGCCAATCAAATTGCCAAGGCGGGCTTTATAAGATGATGGATAAATGATCTTCAGGGACGTTATCATCACGTTATCAAAGAGCGCTTAACTGGTTTCCCTCAAAGATGACTGCTGCTGGAGAATTGAGATGTATAGATTCCGCTGTCGTGTCTGTTGTAAAATGAATCGACAGGGCATTAATTTTAATAGACGGACAGAAAACTGCAATCAAGGCATTTGTCGATCGGAAAGATTTTTTTTGCCGTCCTTCCTACATGATTCGGGAAAAGTGTAACTTATCAGCTGGCTCTGACGGTCGCTAAGAAGATGGGACGCAATGAAAAGCCTGTGGTCGTTGTGGTTTCCCCTTTGGTCGCACTCATGGAGGACCAAGTAAAAGAAGCAACACTCGTTATTTTACTTCTAAAATAAGTAAGTTCTGTTGACAACTGTGAAATGCAAAGTAGTTGCCTTACTGCTTTGCTGTGATTGGTTGTAGGTCAACCGACTGTCCAATTGAGTACAGAGTTTTTTTTTTTCCTGGTTCGATTAAGACACGCTTCATAATCAAAGCCCTATGAAGCAGTTTCAGACTCATATTCTCACTAGAATATGAGTATGACAAAGTCAGGCTAGGAATTATCATTAGTCATCTGTCATTGTCTGTACCGACACCTGTGTTCCAGAATGACATAATCGTTGACACTAACCTGGACATGCTACTTTTGACCGAAACTTGGCAGGTGCCTAATGACTTTTTGAACTTAAATCTCGTCTTAACGCCACCTGGGTACATCTTTTTTTCTCAACCACATTTTCACTGTACTGCCCTACAAAGGAAAAGTGCAGTAACTACGCAAACAAAGAAATGGAGAAAAAGGCCTTTAAAGTTTTTATACCAGCCAGTCAAACATGTTATGGATAGATTGTGTGGTAATGCATCTCCGAAACGGGACATAATTTAACCCATATATTTTTTTCACAAGACAGAACACATGTCATAAAAAGCCCATTACAAGTCTTAACTCATTTTTGACCAAATGTGTAGTTACTGCGTTTTGCCTTTGTAGGGCAGCATAGAGGTGGAGGGCTGGCTGAAGTTTGCCGTGAGACTGTTAAAATATCCAAGATCGAGTTCCATAATGTTACATCATTTGAATACCTAGCGCTGAGAATGACTGGCCAAATGTCACTGGCCGTAATCTTAATTTACCGACCTCCAAAAATTCCCTCTGACTTTTTCTCTGATATTAGTGAGTTACTTACTCTTGTCTGTTGTAGCCATTCATCTGTGCTTGCTGCACTCTAAAAAATGCTGGGTTGTTTTAACCCAACTTTGGGTCAAATATGGACTAACCCAGCCGTTGGGTTAAATTTTTACAATACATTTTTAACCCAACATTTCGGGTTTGTCCATATTTGACCCAAAATTGGGTTAAAACGACCCAGCATTTTTTAGAGTGTGATTTTAAAGGGGTCATGTACTGGCTTTTAAAATGTTTAGATAATGTTGTCTGAGGTCAACTTATGACGTTCGCCTGTTTTTACATGCAAAAACTTCAAAATGAATAATAGGCTATTTTCTACCCTAGTTTTGAGCCTAGCTCAAAAACGATAGATTTTTATGGGCGTCTCACACTGAAGACTTGGAAGTAAACGCCCACTGCTGTGAGTGGATAACAGTTTAGCATATTATGAGTTTCAACTCACTCGTCAGTGCACGTGGGCGAAATTGTTTTGAAAACTTCCAATGTAGTAAAATGGCAACCGGAATTATTTGCCCATACATGTTCGACCCAGAGTCCATGTGTTGCACCATTCCTGTCGGATCCAATATAAAAGGTGCAGCCCTGTTTTTTAATTTTAATCGGTCTGCAAATCCAGTCTCGGCCTGCGTCTTGTTCACAATGCAATCTTAAGTGAAATGAAGTGAACAAACAGACAATATTTTACCCACATCAGCTGGAACGTCATTAAAAATAAAGTTTAACCATGCAGTCTTATTGGAATC